CCTCTGTATGCCCCTGAGATCATCTAAGGTCATGAACGGTCACCAGCAGTTTTGTGGCCATAACTTTTGATAAAGACGTGCTAGAGCGGTGAAAACACGCCAGATGTGTTCAGCTCGACTATACGGATCGCCTGATAAGCAGCATGACCCTTTCCGGTCAGGTCATGACCTTGACCTCAGGTCAAATGTAAAAAAAAAATGTGCTGCTGCCAACAGGGCTGCGGAGTCGGAGTCGGAGTCGGAGTCGGTCGGAGTCGACAGTTGTGACCGGAGTTGGAGTCGGAGTCGGAGTCGATTTTAGAAACCCGAGCCGGAGTCGGAGTCGGAGTCACCGAAAATCTGTCGACTCGCCAGCCCTGCTAGGTCTGCGGAGTCGGAGTCGGGAGTTGGAGTCGATCGGTGTCGACAATTCTGCCCGGAGTCGAAGTCGGAGTCGGAGCTGGTTTTTGAAAGTCGGAGTCGGAGTCGGAGTCGGAGTCGCCGAAAATCCATCGACTCCGCAGCCCTGGCTGCCAACGGTGCTGCCAAAAGTAAAGTCGTGACTCTCTTGAGTCAAAAGTTATTGCCGAAAAACATTGTTCGGGAAAACGGCTATTTTTACAGTTTTTGCTCTCTGGAGGCTAAACCGTTGACCTGATGTCAGATCTGAGATCATTACCTATTTAGAAAGGTCTGTAAAATGGCTATCGAATGCGCTTTTCCGCGGCGCTGTAGCTCTATTGGTTCCCGAGTTGCGCAGCGTAATATAAATCAGGTTTCATTGCAATCGGCCCAGTCGCGGCCGAGTTATTGCCAGAATAAATTTGGCGTCTCCTCTTGGCCGGCGGTGCACTGTTCTGGTATTCATTGCCAAAGGTCAGTGACCTCCCGTGAAGCGGCACCCTTCACGTGCGCACGTGCAAGCTGGGTCCCAACTGACTTGTGCACGGCACCCTAGTTGCCGGTCTCTAGCGGTGTATGTACCGAATTTAAGCTCAATCGGCCCAGCCGTTTTCAAGATCCGGAAGCGACCCCTACACGTGCGCACGTGCATGAGATGTACACCAACCGTGACACACGGAAATAAATACTAACTGACTTGTGCATGGCACCCTACTGATCGGTCTCTAAAGGTGTGCCGAATTTGAATGCAATCGGCCAAGCCGTTTGTGAGATCTGGAGGCGTCATCCTGCACGTGCGCACGTGCAACCTGGGGCCCAGCTGACTTGCGCACGGCACCCTACTAACCGGTCTCTAGCGGTGTACCAAATTTGAAGTCAATCGGCCCGGCCGTTCTCGAGATCTCGAAGCGTCACCCTGCACGTGCGCACGTGCAGTTGCACCCCAACCGTAGCACATGAAAAGGCATGGTCGGGCGGGTGCCTACATCCTTGTGTAGTTTCAGTGCAATCAGCCAAGTAATTACCGTGTTATTGTCATTACAACAAAAGTGACACCTCTCCGTTTTACACGTGTCACGTGCAGTAGGGGTCACCCGCATGCATCGTCCATAGTAAAATACTTCTAAGAAGGGTATACGCTACCCCACACAAAAAACCGCAAGTGTATTGGTCCAGTGGCTGCGGAGATATAAGTCGTACAAAAACGTCCCCACGGCGGCCGGCTGCTAATGTTTAGTATTAAATCGCATCCTTCAATGGGAGGTATCCCTGTCACCTGTTCGTGTACTGTCTGAGCAAGACCATATATAGGTGTGAGCTCAAATCTCGGTAATGTCGTGCTTTTTTACTAAATTTCTCAAAAACGGCACAACGTGCAATAACGCTCTATATATCATTGGGAAGAGCATCAAAAGCTGTATATCCTATCAACTTTTCACTTAAATATATCCTTAACGTACAAAGTTATTAAGCACCAAATACTCTCCCATTGACTTTCCATGTTAAAATTTTTCATTTTTAAACGAGCTTAAAAATAACAAACGAATTCTGACAGCTTAACGAAGCATAACAACATATCCTATGGTCGTTTCTCAACAAGTCCTGAAAGTTTAAACAAAATCGTATCATATAATTTTGTACAATGAACAAATGAAAATGTCTCTGCAAAAACGCCCATTGACTTAACATGGGGAGCGAAAAAATTTCAACTTTGACCTCGTGCAAAGGCACGTCACGAAATTCTGAGGGGTATACGGCGCACACTAGCGTGTACCCAAACGTGTTTGCCATAAAATGCTGCGATGAAAACCACCCCTTTCTTGGCTCGTTTTTCCGCCATTCCCGATGGCGGAAAAAGTGTCCAAAACCCCGTTGACTTAACATGGGGAAAATGGAATCGCACGTGCCACGTGCCACGAGGTTTTAAGCGAGTAGCGACCGGTGCCATCAGGTAGATCACCTCCGGGAGCCCATACACTGAACTTTTTACGAAGATTGTACATTTCGTCTAGGCCCCAATCAAGTTGTACTGATTCGCGGCCAGACTTGCAAAACATAGCCCGGACAACGACCGCTCCGGTTGTTTTTCAATAGAAAAACACAATTCTAACGAATAGTGTTTGTCTTTTCAAACAACCTGCGGTTAGATCACCTCCGGGAGCCCATACACTGAACTTTTTACGAAGATTGTACATTTCGTCTAGGCCCCAATCAAGTTGTACTGATTCGCGGCCAGACTTGCAAAACATAGCCCGGACAACGACCGCTCCGGTTGTTTTTCAATAGAAAAACACAATTCTAACGAATAGTGTTTGTCTTTTCAAACAACCTGCGGTTATTGACGCCCCGAGGACAGAAACAACAGGAGAATATGTGAAAGAGAATATGCCGGGCACGGAGTTAGGTCGCCTGAAAACCCGACATGTAACGTATTGCTGAGCGAAGAAAAAACAATGGTATCAGGTGAGCAAAATAAACACGCAAAAACAGTCAGAGGTAATCGGGTATATCAATGTGCTCTGCATTGCATCCATGTTTCGTTTACGCATTTGTTTTTATGTGCACTGACGCCTTGCAGTAAAAATTCGTTTGCCTTTTCGCTTTTGCCCCCCCCCCTCCAGTCGTGATCATCAAATTAATCATTGAACAGTAAAACGCCTTTTGCGGCGACCAACGGAGCGAGCGAGAGGGTGGGCCTTGCACGTGCGAAATTGCGAGGGGTACCTTTAACTAACTTGTGCACTGCACCCTACTAACCAATACGGAGTACCGGTCTCTAGCGATGTGCCAAATTTGAACGCAATCGGCCAAGCCGTTCTCGAGATCTGGAAGCGGCACCCTACTAACCGGTCCCTAGCCATGAACCAAATTTCAGCGCAATCGGTTCAGCCGCTCTCAAGATGTGGAATCGACCCCTGCACGTGCGCACGTGCTGCAGCACCCCACCTGTGGCACATGGATATGCATGGCCTAGTGGGTGCCTACCTACATGCCAACTTTCAGCACAATCGGCTCAGTAGTTACCGAGATATTGCAATTGTTACAAAACTGACACCTCTTCGTTTTGCACGTGGCACGTGCATAAGAAGTCACCCACATGCATCGGGAATAGTCCAGTTATTTATAGTCACCGTGTGAGTCCAATACTTGATAGAAGGAATGAAGCCACCCTACAAAAATTACCGCGTGCAAATCAGTCAAGTGGTTGCTGAGATGTCTCGCAAAAGCGTCCGCACGGCCGGCCGCTCATGCTCAGAAATTTCCGTTAATCTACGAAAGACTACGCTCGCTTCGCTCGCTCCGTAATAGATGATGTCCATTAGTCATTACTGATGGCTAATGTAGGTAATGGTACCAACCAACACCTGAGTGCATGTATACACCCCCAGTAAACATGCCGACGTCGGCCCGACGTCGACCGAGCGGCATCCCGGCATCGGCTGGGATGTGTCCAACCTCGGCACGACGTCGGCTGGATGTCGGATATGCCCGCATGTTCCGACGTCCAGCCGAGGTCCAGCCGACGTCGGGCCGACGTCGGACCGAGATCAATTGCTGAGGTCCAGCCGACGTCGGGCCAACGTCGGACCGAGATCAATTGCTGAGGTCCAGCCGACGTCGGGCCGACGTCGGGGCGACGTCGGACCGACATCGGCCGCTGTTTTGACCGTTAAAATAATATAAAATACATGTTTCATGCTTCATAAAGAGCTTCTGTATCCAAAATATCCTCAGGAAACTCAAATCTTCCTCCACGCCGCAACCCCCTGATCCGGAATGGACGGGAAACTTCATCCCATTTGGGATTGCCCGTAAGCCGAGCTCGCCCGTAGCCGGGTGCGGTGAGTGTTTGGGGGCTGCTCGGCCTATCCTTTGGTCAGGCTCAGCCCCGGCAACTCACCAGGGCCGGGCCCAGTTCATATAGAAAGGCCAGTCGGCAAGTGTCACTTTGCCAAAGTGCCACTTATCAAAGGCACACTTTGGGAAACGTTGGTGCAGGTGTGTAAGAGTGGCTATATGAATCCATTGTGGGGTCGCCCTTTCCAATAAGTGTCACGTAACAGCAATGAGACCAGGGACTCTATATGAACTGGACCCAGGGTGCTCGCCAAGAAGACCAATGTCTCCATCCTATCATCCTTCCGGCTCTGAAATAGTCTTGTCAGACCGAAAGGGCATAACCCAACAAAACAAACTATATTCGCTATCTGGCTGCGTGGTGTAGTGGTTAGCGCACTAACCTCGCGTTTAAATGACACAGGGTTCGAATCCCATCGCCGGCTGGTGCTTTTGGCGTGTTGTCCCAGTAAGCATGCCGACGTCGGCGACTGGGGGGCTCGAATCCCGCCGCCGGTTGATATTTTTGGCGCGTTGTCCCAATAAACATGCCGACGTCGGCCCCGTCGGTCCAACGACAAACGATCTCGTCAACCTCGGCAAACGACCTCGGCCCGACGTCGGCTCGACGTCGGCTGGACTTCGGCTGGACGTCGGAGCATGCGGGCATACCCGACGTCCAGCCGATGTCGGGCCGAGGTTGAACCGACGTTGGGCCGACGTTGGCATGTTTACTGGGCCGTTTACTACTTACGGTTCATTTTGAGATAAGCAATCATAAGTTGATTCAGTACCCTTTAATTGCATACAAAGTTCAAATATCACGTCAGACTTCATTCTCTCTACATATACAAACCTTCATCAAACAAATTACAGTGTACATTTTAGGTTATCTTAACGTTAAGCTGTTTGAACTGCAAAGTGTACAACATAAAAACAACGCATTGGACTAACGACTTGAAGAGTCCAGTTTGCTCGGCGAATGGTGACAGTGGTGGCAGTCAAGAAGCATCAATTTACACAGGGAAGATAAAGGCAGCCGCTATCGCCAAACAGCTCAGTGAAACGAATCAGTCCCCAGGACAAAAAAAACTAAATGAAAAAAATATCCTAAGGCTCATACTATAAAGTATCGCATCACAAGCACTTGCATCTTCGATCGCTCTGGCAGGGCTTTGATTGCTGCAACTGCGCAGAATGATTCTGTAAATCCAAATATGGTGAGCACTACTCAAATATCTGGTGCACTGCACTGCCGTGTTTTTTCCCACTGCACTGAAAGTGCCCAGTTATAAAATGGTGCACCCGGGTTTTCTTTGCTTTTTGGCATCCTCCAGTTGTTTCGTTATTGCCAGCACTTGCTCTTGGACCTCTTTCATTTCCTGCTTGTGTCGATTGGCGCTCAAGAACGACTCCAGTTCACGCTGAATATCATCTTTCATGTTCTCCAGGTAACCTTCCGCGATGCGCTCGTCGCCCTCTTTGAGCGACTCGAATAGATCCACGGCGACTTCCATCGACTTTTCGTGTCGCTTCTGAAGTTCCTCGACCGTTAGCGCAACACCATCTGTCATTGCGTTCATCATGGAAAGGTAGTTCCTTTTGGCCTGGCCCACCGCCTTCATATTCGCTTGTGCCGCCTTGTAGTTCTTTGCATCTTTTTTCACGTCATTGTGGAAGAGCATTCGGCGGAACTCATTGTCGATCTCCTGGGTAAGGGCAAACTGGCTGTCCTTTTCGATGCCTTCAAACACTTTCTGTTCTTCCTTAAACTGATCCATTGCCTTCCTCCTGGCTTCCTCGTGCGCGCTGTCCAGTTCTTTCTGAGGCACAAAGCCCACGTCTTCACCGGCGACCTCTTCCATCGCATTGATGTAGGTCATTTTGCAGGTCCCAATGAGTCCCAAGTTGTGATTTTCTGCATTGAGCCGCTCCTTTTGGCGCTTCGTGTTGTTTGCCCGCTCAGCAAACTTGTACCACTCTTCAATGTCCTTCATCAGTCTCAAACGATAGTTCTCTGACAGTTTCCAGTCGCCCATTTTCTTGCGATCGGTAAATGCCTTCATGGCCTTCTCTGAAGCTTCCTGGTGTTTCCCCAAAAGCTCGGTCTGTTCTAGTGAAGGATGATCATCACTGTGCAGGAACTCCATTTCTTTGATGTACTGCGTCTTAGCGTCTTGTGCTGCCGCCATATTGTTGGCTTCGGCGGTCGCTTGCATGATGTTCTTTGGCTTTGGCAGTTTGTCACTCTGGAACAGATTTGCGTAAGTCTCAAAGAAAGTGAACAGCTGGCCGGCTGTGACTGAGTTGCCAGCAATACTCTTCACTGTCATTTTCTCCGGTGCCAAAATCTGAGGCATCAGCTCGTTGAGCTTTTCGACAAACACAGTGTCCATCTCTGCGCTGCTGCCGGTGAAGTTGGGACTGCTAGCTACATTCTGCCCCGGGTGCGGCAACAGGAATCCCTCGATCTGGCCAAAGCACCCTCTGATGTGCGTTCGTACCTTCTCCAGCTCCTTTTTCCCAGTTGGAGTATCCAGCCACTCCTTGATCAGCTCGCTGCCACCCCCAGCACCCAGAGGAAGCTCATGAGCGTATTGCCAATCCCTGACCAGAATCAACAATTTTTGGAACGGCTTGCTGCTGGTGTCATCCAGCGCTAGTCGGCCGTACTCAGTGAAGAGCTGCAAGTGCTCCAAGTCATCGTTCTGCAAATTTCCAGTGATGTTGTAAATTTGAAGGGAACTGAGCAGCGTGCTGAGTGCAAAGACAGTTGACGACTCGTGCACGGTAGACTTGTTGTCGAAGGTCCCCTGTGTGTCCATCAGCAAAATGTTCGCCCCTGTGCCGTTTGATAGGGTCACGGGGATCGGCTTTGACCACATCAGGATGCCAGTGGTGTGTCTCCGAAATCCACTTCGCCACGGGAAGCCCCGCTGGCTCTGCTCGTGTATCCAGTTGGACTTGTCTGACGCTGTAAGGTAGCGCAGCATCATGTCCAAAAGGAAAGACTTTCCCTTGCGGAATGCCCCAGCGACTGAGATGACTACCGCTGGCTTGTCGATGATGTCGTCAGCCAAGAGGATACTCTTCAGATTTTTGGAGTCCAGCACGAAGCCTCCCTTGCCGCTGGCAGTGAGAATTTGCATCGCCTCTGGCGTAGCGTTGTTCTGAAAAGGAATTAAGCAGTTTGTCACAAAGAATAAAACAGTTTGTCACAAGGAATAAAACAGTTTGTCAATAACCTGATGTAGGTAATATTATATTACAAAGGAAACCGTGTCTTTGTATGTTGGACAGGATCTGCCGTTATGTAAAGCCGTGTTCCCACTACGACCGTTCAACATCGTAAAGTGCAACAACGGGAGCAAACGGGCGAGGTCGTTGGTCTAGCGACTTTTCTAAAAATGTAGAACACTTCCCTAGATCTAGTAAACAAGGCAAGATGGGGAAACATGGAAATGGTTCAGACAAAACCAGTTAACCCGCGAGTTGCTGGGGGGGGGGGCGTTAAACGCCCCCACTTTTTTCGCCGGACCACAGCATAAAAATGGCGCGCCGTAGGCGCGCCAAATTTTGGTTACCTGTAGGGAATTGATTGAAGTTTATTATGACAAAGTTTCAAAAAAAAAATCGGTCGGAAAATTTTTGAGATATCGAGGTTTTAGTGACGTCATGATTTCTGAGTTTTCGACCAAAAACGGCATATGTTCAAAAAATCATATAAAATGACAGAATAGACATACAGACATGCCGTAAACGCCATTAGACTGCCAATACCATGAACAATCAAATGGCTATCTTCGATTATTGATTATCGTTCCGCATTTTCCAAAATCTTGAACTGAATCTTGGCAATTTCTCGTGACTACTTCACGACCATGATACATGCATTTCTTAAATTGAGGTTTTTGAGCCAAACACGTACACATATGATAAAATGAATGTGACCATCGTGTTCTACGCCCCAAATTACCCGTAAAACATGTGTCACAGGCTGCGAATATCAGTTTTGATTTTCGGGGATATGTGCCTACCCGGTTGACCTGACCTTGACCCTGACCTATGCTTGATTGACCCCTACATGGAGCTGACACTCTTGTAGGCCTTATATAATGGATTGTGCACCGTTTTAACAGAGTTTATGACGAGAGGCGCCCATTGCGAAGTCCTAAAATCCATGCTACTGAAAGCCCGATTTCAGGTGTTTGACCTGACCTTGACCCGACCTGTGACCTCAAAATTCAATTTTAAAGTACTCATCTGAAGCGTCTCGTCGCGTTCTTTCGTTTGCCGCCTCGTGCGTTTCGCTGCGCCTATTGGTTCTCGAGTTATCGGCTGGGGGCGTTTAACGCCCCCCCCCCCAGCAAACGGTGGGTGGCGAAATACCCCAGCAACTGCCGGGTTAAGATGAAGGATGGGTCAACACTCGTTAGTCGTTATTGTATAAAAATATGGTAGGAAAATAGTTTGCGTAGGAGAAGACCTCGTGCAATTGATCGAGTGACAAAATCAGGAGACATTGTAAAATTCCAACCCCATAAAATCATGCAAGCATGAGATGTCCTGTCAGAATGCATCGGCGCCAGCATTGAGCATTTACAGCAGTGGTAGGTACACAATCTGTCAACTTGAAGAGAAATGTGTGTAGTTTTTTTTGCTTTTTATCAACGTTCAGCTTTGGATGCAGGAACCGATAACTGGGAATAATTGGCTCTTAAACATTTCATTGTGACATCCTTTGATATACCTAACGCTTTTGACAAGTTATGGCCAGTTATGGCAATGTGCACTGTGCAGCCGAATTCGCTGGCACAGGCTCAGCGATAGGTAGGTAGGTATAGGTATACCTACTAATTTAGCTGGAGAATTCAATATGAACGCAAATAGCTTGATAACTCAATAACCGAAGAAGATGTATGGACAGCATCTAATGCTTATGTAACGGAAGTTGGCACAGATTCAGCACAGATTCAGCACAGCACAGATTCGGTAGGGGGAAAAAAGGCCCCGGTAGAGGGAAACCTTTATGACCCGTTTTCCCCTAGAAATGACGTCACAAAGAGGTAAAAATGGGTATCAATCGAAAGCTCTCGTTTACCCAGACACAGTCCTGCAGGAAAATTCCAATTTTTCCCCATAGGAAAGTTTTTACGGGAAAATCAAAATTTCGGGTCAATGGGGGGTCCCCCCCGATTTCGTTCAAAATCGGCACACAGGTGCCCCACCACCAGCCGAGAAACTTTCCCCAAAACGGTCCCCGTTGCATTGACGTTTAAGGCCCTTAAAGCCCCGTAAACTCGTAAAAAATCCGTAAATTCGCCCTTGTACGGCCAAAAACGGGGCGCTAGGGTAAAAATGGGTATCAATCGAAAGCTCTCGTTTACCCAGACACAGTCCTGCAGGAAAATTTCACTTTTTCCCCATAGGAAAGTTTTTACGGGAAAATCAAAATTTCGGGTCAATGGGGGGTCCCCCCCGATTTCGTTCAAAATCGGCACACAGGTGCCCCACCACCAGCCGAGAAACTTTCCCCAAAACGGTCCCCGTTGCATTGACGTTTAAGGCCCGTAAAGCCCCCTAGACTCGTAAAATATCCGTAAAATCGCCTTTGTACGGACAAAAAAGTGGTGCTATGGTAAAAATGGGTATCAATCGAAAGCTCTCGTTTACCCAGACACAGTCCTGCAGGAAAATTCCACTTTTTTCCCATAGGAAAGTTTTTACGGGAAAATCAAAATTTTGGGTCAATGGGGGGTCCCCCCGATTTCGTTCAAAATCGGCACACAGGTGCCCCACCACCAGCCGAGAAACTTTCCCCAAAACGGTCCCCGTTGCATTGACGTTTAAGGCCCTTAAAGCCCCGTAAACTCGTAAAAAATCCGTAAATTCGCCCTTGTACGGCCAAAAACGGGGCGCTAGGGTAAAAATGGGTATCAATCGAAAGCTCTCGTTTACCCAGACACAGTCCTGCAGGAAAATTCCACTTTTTCCCCATAGGAAAGTTTTTACGGGAAAATCAAAATTTCGGGTCAATGGGGGGTCCCCCCGATTTCGTTCAAAATCGGCACACAGGTGCCCCACCACCAGCCGAGAAACTTTCCCCAAAACGGTCCCCGTTGCATTGACGTTTAAGGCCCGTAAAGCCCCCTAGACTCGTAAAATATCCGTAAAATCGCCTTTGTACGGACAAAAAAGTGGTGCTATGGTAAAAATGGGTATCAATCGAAAGCTCTCGTTTACCCAGACACAGTCCTGCAGGAAAATTCCACTTTTTTCCCATAGGAAAGTTTTTACGGGAAAATCAAAATTTTGGGTCAATGGGGGGTCCCCCCCGATTTCGTTCAAAATCGGCACACAGGTGCCCCACCACCAGCCGAGAAACTTTCCCTAAAACGGTCCCCGTTGCATTGACGTTTAAGGCCCGTAAAGCCCCCTAGACTCGTAAAATATCCGTAAAATCGCCTTTGTACGGACAAAAAAGTGGTGCTATGGTAAAAATGGGTATCAATCGAAAGCTCTCGTTTACCCAGACACAGTCCTGCAGGAAAATTCCACTTTTTCCCCATAGGAAAGATTTTACGGGAAAATCAAAATTTTGGGTCAATGGGGGGTCCCCCCGATTTCGTTCAAAGTCGGCACACAAGTGTCGATATTTTACGGATTTATTTTAAGGATTTTACGGATATTTTACGAATCTAGGGGGCTTTACGGGCCTTAAACGTCAATGCAACGGGGACCGTTTTGGGGAAAGTTTCTCGGCTGGTGGTGGGGCACCTGTGTGCCGATTTTGAACGAAATCGGGGGGACCCCCCATTGACCCGAAATTTTGATTTTCCCGTAAAAAACTTTCCTATGGGGAAAAAGTGAAATTTTCCTGCAGGACTGTGTCTGGGTAAACGAGAGCTTTCGATTGATACCCATTTTTACCCTAGCGCCCCATTTTTGGCCGTACAAGGGCGAATTTACGGATTTTTTACGAGTTTACGGGGCTTTAAGCAGGGCTGCGGAGTCGGAGTCGGAGTCGGAGTCGGAGTCGGTCGGAGTCGACAGTTGTGACCGGAGTCGGAGTCGGAGTCGGAGTCGATTTTAGAAACCCGAGCCGGAGTCGGAGTCGGAGTCACCGAAAATCTGTCGACTCCGCAGCCCTGCTAGGTCTGCGGAGTCGGAGTCGGGAGTTGGAGTCGGTCGGAGTCGACAATTCTGCCCGGAGTCGGAGTCGGAGTCGGAGCTGGTTTTTGAAAGCCGGAGTCGGAGTCGGAGTCGGAGTCGCCGAAAATCCATCGACTCCGCAGCCCTGGCTTTAAGGGCCTTAAACGTCAATGCAACGGGGACCGTTTTTGGGAAAGTTTCTCGGCTGGTGGTGGGGCACCTGTGTGCTGATTTTGAACGAAATCGGGGGGACCCCCCCATTGACCCAAAATTTTGATTTTCCCGTAAAAACTTTCCTATGGGAAAAAAGTGGAATTTTCCTGCAGGACTGTGTCTGGGTAAACGAGAGCTTTCGATTGATACCCATTTTTACCATAGCACCACTTTTTTGTCCGTACAAAGGCGATTTTACGGATATTTTACGAGTCTAGGGGGCTTTACGGGCCTTAAACGTCAATGCAACGGGGACCGTTTTGGGGAAAGTTTCTCGGCTGGTGGTGGGGCACCTGTGTGCCGATTTTGAACGAAATCGGGGGGGACCCCCCATTGACCCGAAATTTTGATTTTCCCGTAAAAACTTTCCTATGGGGAAAAAGTGAAATTTTCCTGCAGGACTGTGTCTGGGTAAACGAGAGCTTTTGATTGATACCCATTTTTACCCTAGCGCCCCGTTTTTGGCCGTACAAGGGCGAATTTACGGATTTTTTACGAGTTTACGGGGCTTTAAGGGCCTTAAACGTCAATGCAACGGGGACCGTTTTGGGGAAAGTTTCTCGGCTGGTGGTGGGGCACCTGTGTGCCGATTTTGAACGAAATCGGGGGGGACCCCCCATTGACCCAAAATTTTGATTTTCCCGTAAAAACTTTCCTATGGGGAAAAAGTGAAATTTTCCTGCAGGACTGTGTCTGGGTAAACGAGAGCTTTCGATTGATACCCATTTTTACCCTAGCGCCCCATTTTTGGCCGTACAAGGGCGAATTTACGGATTTTTTACGAGTTTACGGGGCTTTAAGCAGGGCTGCGGAGTCGGAGTCGGAGTCGGAGTCGGAGTCGGTCGGAGTCGACAGTTGTGACCGGAGTCGGAGTCGGAGTCGGAGTCGATTTTAGAAACCCGAGCCGGAGTCGGAGTCGGAGTCACCGAAAATCTGTCGACTCCGCAGCCCTGCTAGGTCTGCGGAGTCGGAGTCGGGAGTTGGAGTCGGTCGGAGTCGACAATTCTGCCCGGAGTCGGAGTCGGAGTCGGAGCTGGTTTTTGAAAGCCGGAGTCGGAGTCGGAGTCGGAGTCGCCGAAAATCCATCGACTCCGCAGCCCTGGCTTTAAGGGCCTTAAACGTCAATGCAACGGGGACCGTTTTTGGGAAAGTTTCTCGGCTGGTGGTGGGGCACCTGTGTGCTGATTTTGAACGAAATCGGGGGGACCCCCCCATTGACCCAAAATTTTGATTTTCCCGTAAAAACTTTCCTATGGGAAAAAAGTGGAATTTTCCTGCAGGACTGTGTCTGGGTAAACGAGAGCTTTCGATTGATACCCATTTTTACCATAGCACCACTTTTTTGTCCGTACAAAGGCGATTTTACGGATATTTTACGAGTCTAGGGGGCTTTACGGGCCTTAAACGTCAATGCAACGGGGACCGTTTTGGGGAAAGTTTCTCGGCTGGTGGTGGGGCACCTGTGTGCCGATTTTGAACGAAATCGGGGGGGACCCCCCATTGACCCGAAATTTTGATTTTCCCGTAAAAACTTTCCTATGGGGAAAAAGTGAAATTTTCCTGCAGGACTGTGTCTGGGTAAACGAGAGCTTTCGATTGATACCCATTTTTACCCTAGCGCCCCGTTTTTGGCCGTACAAGGGCGAATTTACGGATTTTTTACGAGTTTACGGGGCTTTAAGGGCCTTAAACGTCAATGCAACGGGGACCGTTTTGGGGAAAGTTTCTCGGCTGGTGGTGGGGCACCTGTGTGCCGATTTTGAACGAAATCGGGGGGGACCCCCCATTGACCCAAAATTTTGATTTTCCCGTAAAAACTTTCCTATGGGAAAAAAGTGGAATTTTCCTGCAGGACTGTGTCTGGGTAAACGAGAGCTTTCGATTGATACCCATTTTTACCATAGCACCACTTTTTTGTCCGTACAAAGGCGATTTTACGGATATTTTACGAGTCTAGGGGGCTTTACGGGCCTTAAACGTCAATGCAACGGGGACCGTTTTGGGGAAAGTTTCTCGGCTGGTGGTGGGGCACCTGTGTGCCGATTTTGAACGAAATCGGGGGGGACCCCCCATTGACCCGAAATTTTGATTTTCCCGTAAAAACTTTCCTATGGGGAAAAAGTGAAATTTTCCTGCAGGACGGTGTCTGGGTAAACGAGAGCTTTCGATTGATACCCATTTTTACCCTAGCGCCCCGTTTTTGGCCGTACAAGGGCGAATTTACGGATTTTTTACGAGTTTACGGGGCTTTAAGGGCCTTAAACGTCAATGCAACGGGGACCGTTTTGGGGAAAGTTTCTCGGCTGGTGGTGGGGCACCTGTGTGCCGATTTTGAACGAAATCGGGGGGGACCCCCCCATTGACCCGAAATTTTGATTTTCCCGTAAAAACTTTCCTATGGGGAAAAAGTGGAATTTTCCTGCAGGACTGTGTCTGGGTAAACGAGAGCTTTCGATTGATACCCATTTTTACCTCTTTGTGACGTCATTTCTAGGGGAAAACGGGTCATAAAGGTTTCCCTCTACCGGGGCCTTTTTCCCCTACCGAATCTGTGCTGTGCTGAATCTGTGCTGAATCTGTGCCAACTTCCGTTACATCTAATGCTTTCAATTTACGGACAAGCTTGCTAACGCTTGCACAAAGTCTGAAGCTTTTCAATTGTGGGAATGAGCTAATCAAACATAACGATATAAAAAAATACAAAATGCTCTGAAAAACACATAGCTATGCACAGCCATCGACATAACCCGCACTTTCGCTTCAAACTCCGTTGGGAAGGCAGTACCTAGGCCTAGAGAACTGCTCATTTTCGGTGTTGCCATCAGCTCATTCTATTGGTGAGTTTATGAATTATAAACACTATTACAATTGCCCCGTGGCCCGTGTGACCCCGCTCTCCCGTACCTAGTGTGCCGTGAAATAGGGCCCTGGTCTTTATGAATGATTGAACTTCTGTGCCAGAACTTATCAGACTTCGTTTGATAGGCATCGCACTTATATTTGTATAACCTTGGAGCTGGAATGTCACACACCGATGTAAATCGTAACCCCTCGCCACACATGCCCTCTTCTACGGCACGCTACCAGCGCATAGGTGCTTGCGCTTTCGACTGCTATGGAAACAAACCCTCGCCCGTAAACGGCGATCTGCCACCTTCGCCCATGCAGGGGGGGGGGTTGGTGCGACCCCCCCCTTGGCGTTTGAAAACGGAGCGTCGTAGAGCTTAGCGGAAAAGACCAACGGATTGCTCTCGCCGAGATCTCGCGATTGGTGGTATATTTTTTGGTCCTGGGTCAACATTTGACCTACTTTTGACCGGTCAAAGGTCAAATTTTCGGAAAAATAGACTTTTTTTCAACTTTCCGCGGCGATTGCGGCAAAACGGTGGGAGATATCGACTTGAAACCTTCACTATCGTGTTCCTTGATCAATTCTCTATCGTTTGGTATGTATTTCGTTTCCCTAGCTCTAAAAATGGCGCGTTGGGAGCGCCGGAAGTCGGCAAGGTCACAGTCGGCGGCAGAAATTCGAAAAATCAAAATTTAAATTTTTGAAATCTGATTGTATTTTTGGATTTGGGAGGTCCATTTGCTCCCTATAGAAGCTAATATTGCTGCATATTCCCATTGAGCTGACAAGAATTAGCAAAATAGTGGTTCGGGCGCTTTTCAAAAATAGTACCAGACGCTGTTCCTCTTGTGACGTCATAGCTCCGTGACCTGACCTAACCCGGTCAAGTTTCTTATACCATATGATAGCCAATACTTGCCCCAACATGCATGGGAAGTTTCATCACGATCCATCAACCGATGTCCGTACCACCGGCAGGAAACCTCGGGCGTTGGCACTCAGTTTGTGAAAATCCGGCCGGAGGCTGTTCCCTTTGTGACGTCATAACTCCGTGACCTGACATGACCCGGTCAAATTTTTTTTATCAAAAGATGCGCAAGGCTTGCCCCATAAGGTACCCAAAATTTGGCGGCGCTGCGCGCCGCCGTTTTTACACTATTTCCGAAAAACCTCAGGGGGGGGTTGCACCAACCCCCCCCCTACATGGGCGAGGGTTAACTGGGTGGGACACTGGGACGCTCACAGGGAAGTTTGCTTATGTTTCGATGGAACCCGAAAGCGCTAGTAGCACTAGTAGCCCCTGTAGCGTGCCGTGAAACAGGGCCAATGCTTCGCTTTCAGCCCTGGCGCACTATTCACATGTCTGTGCCCGCAGTGCCCTCCTGCTCACCTGCACCGTAGCGTTATCGGGCGGTGTACCGCCGTGCTGCGCCATCCTGCAGTGCACCGGTGCGTCAGAACCGCCGTCGCTCCTCTCGGTCGGATGTCCCGGCGTGAAGTGCGGGCGGTGCTCGCGGCCGGCAGTCGGCCGACGCCAGACGCGACTATCGCGCCAGACGTGAGTCAGCGCGGGGATCCCTGGACCTCCCCCCAGGAATAACAAAGCCACAGTGGGCGCTTTGTGGGTGACGACGGGGATTCACCATGCTGCTGATGTCAGACGCTGATTCTGAATCCCCGATGGATAAACATAGGATCCCTGGGGGTAGTCTCAGTTGTTGGTTTTTTACCGATTACGTGTAACTATGGACTGGGACCGCTAACGTATGAATAGGTATGTACATTCTGTTTAGGTATTTCACCTCGTACGTATCTCTAGGTTGTTCTTCAGTACAATGTTGCTACACGCTAGTCGCGACACGTGATACTTATGCTTCTTTGAATGGCTTATGTCCGCTGTTGTCATTCCTGCATTGCTGATGTCCCAACCCACGACCTGTCTGTGAACTGCTCCGGTCTGTCAAGAATAGTTAAAGGGACCCTCCCACCTTCAAAAAAGTTTATGAATTGGCATGAAAGTGATGTCGCTCGGTTCAGAAAGAGCGAAAACGAATATCTACCAAATTTCACCGAAAAAAATTCACCGGTTTTCAAGATATTAGACTTTTACTTTTGTTTACTTTTATTGGGATCTCCGCTGTTTCTAGCGACTTTATTTTAGAAGTGCGGCGTTTGCGGCAGATGTTGCGCGCAAATAGCATATACCACCGCGTGCTACAAAACGTTTTAGTCAAACATTTAAAAATCGTTAGATATTTGCGCTGACGTCACACATTCAGAGGGGTATTCCTAAGCATTAGCCCCTCTGAATCAAAATGCTGCAATTTTGAAATTCAATATTTCCGATTTAAGGCATTTCTCGATGTTGTGAGTGCCGAAACCGGTAATTGTGAGCCAGGGACCCCATTTTGGCTATCTCAACTCAAATCTAATGTTAAGGTGGGAGGGTCCCTTTAACATGTTCTTATGCAGGCATCTGCGGTTTGTTTGTTCCGTTATCAGTCACTTATCCCTTCCTGCTGATGCTCGTTTCTCATTTCTAAACTGTTGCTGGTCTCTGGCCGTCTCTGAACTGCTGATGACCAGCGCGCATCTCCAATTGATGCTGCACACTGCTTGTCCTAAGGCGTGCACTCTGACGTAACCTCTCAATGTTATGTTTTGGTTCGTTTCAAGTGAAAGAGCACACAATTAATGGGAAACGCGATTTATTTACTGCGATACGTTCAGGCCGAAAAAATGTCCGAGAAGATAACAAGTATGGCGAGCGCCGCGCCTAGTCGCCCGCGCCAGCTCTGCCGCTCGGCGCGCAGTCAGCTGGCGGCGGCAGAGGCGCTCACAGGCATGTAGCCGGGGCGGCCAGCGGTGGCGGCGGCAGGGGCGCGCGCAGGCGCGGCCAGCAGCCGTGCGGGGGTTGGACCATAACACAACACCTCCCCCTCAGCCCCCGACTCTGACACTCCGGCCGTCGTGCCCGTCCCGGTCCCGGCGGAGGGCTCTCTGTACAGCAGCCTCTCCAAACGCTCCAGGCGCTTGTCGGCCTCGGCGGCTCTCTCCGTCTGCCTCTCCAGCAGCGCCGTCAGTTCTTGAATCAAAATTTTCTTCATCGCGCTGTAAGCTGCTCAGTCACGTAATTACAAAACCGACCGCGCCATGTTATGTTTTGGTTCGTTTCGAGTGAAAGAGCACACAATCAATGGAAAACGCGATTTATTATACTGCGATACGTTCAGGCCGAAAGAGTGTCCAAAAGATAACAAGTATGGCGAGCGCCGCGCCTAGTCGCCCGCGCCAGTCATGCCGCTCCGCGCGCACCGTCAGCTGGCGGCGGCAGAGGCGCTCACAGGCACGAAGCCGGGGCGGCCAGCGGTGGCGGCGGCAGGGGCGCGCGCAGGCGCGGCCAGCAGCCGTGCGGGGGTCGGACCATAATACAACACTCAATTCCTGTCGTCCGTTGTCTTCGTTTCTGCAGTTTTGACGTCACACTTCGGACATTCAAATGCCAATGTTAGCTAGCGTGAAAACAGCGTTCTGACGTTCGCTAGCGCCAGGATTGAAGACTGCAAAGAAGAGTCGTCATCCATTATGGACCCTGGGAGGCACCCCCCCCCCCCGGACACCCCAGAACATGCCTACTTTACATCCGATCCAATACATGTCGCGGGACCCGCTCATGACTTATTCAAAGGTCAAGGGCATCCTAACATCTGGATACGGGCCTCCTACTTGTTACAGGATTCTGATACATTTGTAAGTCGCATTGCCTTTCTTCCATTGCTTGATTCCGGAACCGGACTGGACAGAGGAGAACAAAGACACCTTATCGGGAAGACGGGGCATGCGCGGCGCGCGCTATCGTTGCTCGCCTGCCGTCATACAGGGTGGGGAAGAAATATTTACCCATTAGGTATAGTCGACTACAGAATGATGTTCCACTCCTCAGAAGCTATCAGTTGACCGGAGCGCTAAGTTGTGCTGTTTATCACGCGTGTCGATTGTGTCGACTGTTTATCCTGTTTATCAAGCGTGTCGATTGTGAGCATTGGGAAAAAGTTATAATTTGTGAACTCAGCTCGTGTGATGCGGCACAGCCTACCACACCAGGCAAATACTTGCCTGTGAAAAGTGGAACATCATTCTGCAGTCGACTATACAAGACCGTCATACGTTCTAATTTTATGGTGTATTTCAGTGTTACTATTTGAAAAAGCAATGCCCATAGTGCCGCCAATTGGATGTTAAGAACAACACTTAACCCGGCACCGCCTGGGCTATTTGCGTACCCACGACAGCCTGGGGGGGGGGGGCGGATGGATCCGACCCCCCCCCCCTGTTATCTCGAGAACAAATGGTCGCATCGAGCCCCGCGAGGGGGTGTTCGAAAGGTCTCTACGAGACCTTCCCAAAGCACTCTTAAGATTTTAAGATTGAGGTCAACTTTCGGGTCAAGGTCAGGTAAAAGGTCAAATTCTGGGGTTTTGCATGATTAGGCTTACGGACAGCGGAATCGACAGCTGCTGCTCGAAACTCACCAAAAATGACCTCAAAGACCTAGTGAAGGTAGGTACCATGTGCGTATAGGGGTCATAATAAGTATGGGTCAAGGTCAGGTCAGGTCACGAAAGGTCACGGTTTTCACTTTCTGCTACATGGGCGTGCGACACATGTTTTATGGCTTATTTTTCATGCCGAATCCGATGGTAATGGTTATATGTGACCCCAAGTCACTGTGCTGGTGATAAGTGTGCATTGAAAGCATAAAAAATCGTTTATACAATACATTACTAAACGAGGGCTAAGAAAAAAGGTCAATTTTTCAACTTTTTATTTTTGACATAAAAATGCATTTTTATAGACGAGCTTTGTCCCAGGAATCTAGTGGTGCCATTTGTTTTCACATGCGATGTTCAGAAGTGCTTCTAATTCACGAAAATGCGTATGACGTCACCATGCCCTATGCATGTTGGAGCTATTTTTTACAATTTGGGGGTCACAAATCAAGATAGAAAGATGAAATTTGGGACATCTAATTTTCTAATAGAGCTCTATAACATATATTCCGGTTTTTTGGAAATTTTTAAAAAATTTTGGATTTTATTAGCTGTTTTCCAAAAAATAGTTTTTTGAATTTTTAGGGGTAAAAAAAGCATTTTATGGAAAAACCGAGATAGCCATTTTAAAGAAATCGTTGAGCTGCGTCTATCCATGTCCTTAATTTGCAATTTGCTTTAAACCCTTATTTTTGGCGATTTTTTAAACATTTACCACTTTTTGACTGAAAACGCCATGTAGTTACATCACTAAAATCGATATATCTAAAAAAATGGATTTTTATAAATTGCACAGGATACGTCAAATTGATGGGGGAGAAGGTATGCCAAGTTTCAAGTCGATAGCGTAAGCAGTTCATAAATTATTCAAGAAAAATGGAGGGGGAGGGGTCGGATCCGATCCCCCCCCCCAGGCGGTCGCGGGTTAATAGGAAAGGGCCCCTAGCGTCAGGTATGGTTGCGTAAAAATCCCCTGAAGCTTAAGAAATAACGCTGACCTACACTTAGAAATCAATAAAAATAAGGCAGACAAGGCATAGAACACATTTTATATTTCACGCGCATCCTCAAAGAATGATAGTGCAAGGACAAACAGCTGATTAACATACAGTTGAGGCTCGCGAAAAGATGTCCATATAAATTTCGGTCATTTGGTGAGGCTGATCCGGAAATTCATCACGGGTAAAACGTCGTCTGTGCCAGTCGACTGCGGTGGAAGCGGAAAGGATCGCCGCTGGGATGGGAGCGCCAGCGTTGGTCCAACGAACCGCGCGACCGGGCACGGTATGGCGGAGTGGACTGACGACTGCGACTGGACGACGCTCTGCTAGCAGGCCGTCGGACTGGCGAGTGTGACACGCTCCGAGACGAGCGCGACTGACAGACCAGCCGCTGACCACGCCAGCAGTTGGGGCTCAGGGCCATCCCGGCCGGCACAATGGACTTGCCCGTCAGACCGCGGCACCCACCGCGCTTTTGACAGCCACCACAGCATCCTGTCTTGATAAGAAGACCTCGGGGTTTCTTGGTAAGCCAATTGAGCGAGTATATGAAGATAAGAAAGTAGACAAAGGCATAAACAGTCCAACTGTACGCGGTACTTGATATGTTGTAGTTATAACTGCTGTGATGCGGATAACCAGGATGGTTGCTGCACATGCACATTTTGCAATATTTTTACCTGTGTGCCTGCATACTTCGACACCAAATTTAGACGCCATGTTAAGCGTGCTAAAGACTATTTCAAGTGTTCACAAAGACCTAGAGAGGTACTCCACGTGACCAGATGTTGACGGCACGTCTGCGCAAAGTAAAAAATACATCACTCCATGGAAATGCGTAAGTAGACTGGCCTTGTGACAGCGGATAATGTTCACGGATAAAACGTTGTGCGGGAGAGTCGGCCACAGCGGCGCAAGCGTGGTCTCATCGCCGAGTAGCAGCCGAGCGAGGCGCGTGAGTGCGATCGGAACGGGGCCGGACCGGGCCGTCGGCAAGGTGACACGCTACGGCCGCGGCACGCCGAAGGGAGACGGCGTGCCCCGCCACAGCCGGGAC